TCATGGCTTGATAGCTCATTTCTTTTTAGTGCTGAATAATATTCCATTACCCATGTGCCATGATTTATTTATTCATTCCTCTACTAAAGGACATCTCAGTTGCTTCAATCTTTGGCAGTTATGAATAAAGCTGCCATATATGTGAATGTGTGTGTACATAAGTTTTCAACTCCTTTGGGTGAATACCAAGGATCATGATTGTTGGATCAAATGGGCAGAGTATGTTTATTTTTGTAAGAAGGCAACAAACTGTTTTCCAAAATGTTTTGTGCCATTTTGCATTCTCACCAGCAGTGTATGAAAGTTCCTATTGGTCCACATCTTCACCAGCATTTTGTGTTGTCTGTGTTCCGGATTTTGGCCATTCTAATAGGTGTGTAACAGTATCTCATTGTTACAGTTTGCATTTCCCTGATGACATACGATGATGAGCATCTTATCATGTGCTTATGTGCCATCTGTATGTGTTTGATGAGGTGTCTATTTAAAGTCTTTGACCCATTTTTTAAATTGGGTTATTTGTTTTCTTATTTTAAGAGTTCTTTATATATTTTAGGTATTAGCCCTTTATCAGATTTGTCTTTTGCAAAAATTTTCCCCTGTTCTGCGGCTTGTCTTCTGATTTTTTTTTGATACTGTCTTTTGCAGAGGAGAAGTTTTTAATTTTAATGAAGTCCAAGTTACTAACTATTTCTTTCATGGACTGTGTGTTTGGTGTTGTATCTAAAGAGGCATCACCATACCCAAGGTCATCTAGATTTTCTCCTATGTTATCTTCTGGGAGTTTGATAATGTTGTGTTTTGTCAACCATTTTTTAAAAACTAATTCTAGTTACGTTGTCTCTCTCATTCAATTACCTTGACCTTCTTTCCGCTTCACACCCTCATTTTCCCACAGGTAATTCAGCCTATTCTCTTATCAAGAGAAATGGAAAAATCAAGTATAACCCTCCTACACTTTCTACCCTGTCCTCTCATTGGACCTGCATCTGCCCTCACTCTCCCAGCCTCCCAGGCTCCCAGGCTCCCAGGATGAGGCAGCCCGTTCCTGTTCAGGGAGTCTCTTTCCCACACTCGTCATCTCACCCACTCTGGTCTTCTATGTCCTTGTATCATTCTTCATATATCACCAAACTATTACTCTGGACTATAATTTCTCCTCAAGCAATAAATATGCTCAATTCTTTCCCATACCCCCTCCCCATCAATCTCCAAACCAAAAAAACAGCAGCAGCAACAGAAACAACACTACAAAACACCTCCTTTGACCCTGGGTCTATTCTGGTTTTAACTGGCTTTCATCCTCCTCTGCAAAGAGCTCTCTTTATTCATTGTCTGCATTTTTTCACTTCCCATTGACTTTTCAACCCAATGGACTCTGACTTATCCCCCCTCCTCACTGCAGCTGGCATAGCTGAAGACACTGTGGCGTCTGCATTATACTTTTCATGTCTCTTTCTGTGCTGAATCTGACAGTCCCAGCCACACACTTCTTGAAGTTCATCTTGCCTTTGGCTTCCGTAATCTTGCTCTTATTTCTCTGACATTCCTTTTCAGGCTCTTTTCTGACCACCTCTTAAATGTTGGTATTTCCCCAGAATTCCACTGTGAGCCACTGCTATTTCACTGAAGTTTTAACTGTCGCCGCTGTCTGTATGCTGATGACTTGTGAGCCTACGTGTCCACACCTAACATCCCCATTTTTCTTCAGAGGTCAGGTCACGACCACCTGTGTTTCCCCACAGGAACCTCAGGTTCAACATGGCCTTGGCTGAATTCATGAACTTCCCTGCTTTCCAAAACTCAGTTCTCTTCCTCTGTTCCTTCTGATTTGGTAGGCCCATGACTTTCAGAATCATTCTAGAACAGCACAGTGTCCAATAAAAATATAATGCAAGCTACATATATAATACAAAATTTTTCTGGTAACCACATTAAAAAATACAGTGAAGCAGGTGAAATGACTATTAAGAATAGATTTTATTTATCCTGATAGGTCTTAAAATATTAGCATTTCAACATGTGGTACATTTTAAAACATTTAATGGGATATTTTACATTTCTTTTGTGCTAGGTTTTCAGAATTCAGCGTCCTTTTGGCATTCATCACACATCTGAATTACAAGTAGTCACTAGGGCTCGATAACCATGTGTGGCTGGAGGCCCCTGTGCAGTGTAGTTCTGGAGTCCTTGCCTTCACTAGTCCCCCTCTCATCCAGGCATAAGTCCTATGGATTTTATCTCCTAGGTGTTTCTCCAGTTAAGTTTATTTGTTTTCATGTTTTCTACATCATGGCTTTACTTCACACCTCAGTCATTTCTCACTCGGATTATTGCAGTAGCTTGCATAACCTAGTTTGTCTCAGGGAGCAGGTAAAATTCACTGGGATTCCGGATGCTATAGCAGCACATATACATATGTATTTTTATCTAGAGAATAAGAAAACAGTTAAAATTTATTTTATATATATATATATAGAGAGAGAGATGACAGCACACTCACTCTGTATCACAGAGAAGTCAGTAATAAGGTTATAAATGTAACAAATAAAATACATTTCACCCAGAGAATAAAAAACTTAGAATATTATGTATTTCACCTAAAATATTATTTATTTATGTCATACTTTGAATTTTTTCTGTGTATTCCTAGATGTACACAGCCTACTAAGACGGTCATATAAGCTTAAAAATAGATTTGTATGTGTACTTGAAATTTAGTTTGGTACTGCCAAACGTTACCATTAACATTTGGGGTTTTACTGAACTGGATCCCCTCTGACTTTACTCCACTTGCCTCTCCAGCCTCAGCTTCTTCATCCCACGTCACATTTTCTGTATGAAGTGGCTCTTTCCTATTGTGTTCTTGTTTGTCCTTCTTTATGGAAAACAAACAGGCAAACAGACTACTTCCTGATGTGACTCTCATTCTCTTCCAGGCTCTTCTGAGCTATCTCTCTTCCAGGACAGCCCATCAGCTTTTCCTCAGCTGTGTCAAGTGCTCCCTCCCTTGCTGAGCATATATCTCTTACTACACTATTATGTGGAAATTACCTCTTTATGGATCTTCATTCCCTGGAAAACCATAAAATTCTTGAGGGCAGGGATGTGGCATTATCATGTTTTTTCATTGTGACATATGATAAATTCTTAAGAAATGCTTGTTGAACTAAATTCATGGCTCTCCTTAATGAAGCCAGCCTGTTCTATCGTTCTGTGAAAGAGTGATTTTTCTTGTTGCAATTTGTGGAGTATCTGGATAAGTATTTCCTCTTATCCAGAGATACCTGATAAAATGAAATAGTAAATGTGCGTTCATTGAGTACTGTGATTAGTATGCTATTGGTAAGCCCTGGTAGGGCAGGTGACAATCTTACTGGGAAATAACCAGTTTCTTCTTATTAAAAATTAGATGCGATCATTTGCTCTAAGGCGAATGAAGTTTTGATTGTATGTATGTGTATATGTATATGTATGCATGTAGCTGGTCTTCAAACTTCAGAATGAGTAAGAGTTACCTTGAGACATGTTAAAATGTGAATTCCTGGATTCCATATATACCTATTCTGATTCATTTAGACTTACTTGTAGGTAGCCCAAGAATTTGTGTTGTTAGAAAGCATCACAATGATTATAATAAAAGTGGTAGAAACCATACTTTGAGAAGTATTGTGTCCTTCCTGAAGTAGAGTATAAGAAGGAGAAATTTTGAAAAATGGAGAGAACTGCTTTAGTTTGGACCTGAATGAGGTTCTGTGTGTGGGGGGGGTCTCTAAAAGTTGTAGAGTTAAAAAAGGAGAATGGGCACTTGGGAGATGCTGAAACAGGCAATCAAAGGTGGCCGGGACTGGGAGTGTGGGAAGAGGCTTGGAAGATCACAGTGACCTTGGCTTATTTCACACTTTTCCGTAGAATTGACTTTCCCTCTTCAACTAGAGGACTTAAGAAATAAAATATAAATATGAAAAGATTATAAATATGAAACTCTAATTATTAGGATATTTTCATTTTCCCTTAGGAACTGACACATTAGCCATTCAATAAGTAATTTTAAAAAATATTTCAGTATCTCTAGGATAATGAACGATTTAGATGTAAGATAGTTTTTGACATTTAGAAGAATATCATACAATTCCATATAGTATTTCATTTCTGTGACAACTTATCTAGCATAGAGGAGATGGTGAATTATGCCATATGGAAAACAGCATTTAACATTACAACAACTGTGAGAAAAAAATAGATTTTCACGTAAATTCCATTTATAAATAGCTTCTGTCAAGTCTGTAGTCCACGTTGTTAATGTTTTAAAATTTAAAGGCTATTTAAAGATTTTTATGAAAATTCTACATATTTTGCAGCTTGGCAAATAACAACCAGAAGTAGATGGATAGAGCTAGACTATTCAAAAGCCCCAAAGTTTTAATTTTAGCTTATTGTTTTAGCTTTCTCCCGTATTCAGCCTTATTTGAGTTGTTAACAGGAATTAACTGGTTGGCTTGAGTTTTTTCTTTTCACCATTTGGTGGCCAGTCTCTGGTGGAAATCCTAATGAGTTGCAAACCAGGCAAACAAATGAGCCAGTGGGCTGGAAGGGGATAAGAGACAGTGGGCATGGAGAGTCTATTGTTGTTTATCCAATCAACTAAATATATTTTAATTGTAGCAGCAGTGCCATAAATAGGCCTGGCACAAGCCTATTTGTCTGCCTTACTGTATTTGTCTGTTTCAGTCGGTCTGTTTCAGTTGCTCTATTTCCACCATCCATGCAAGTTCGCGGTTATGATTTTGTTCATTTGACGGGAGAGACTTCCTGCTGGTTATCTGTGCTCTTGCAAGATACATTATTTTGAGTAGTTTAATAGAGGTTGTGCTTCAAGGGAACAATTCTGTTCTTATTGTAACTTGTATCTTGTTTTTAACTTCACTTAGCGTGAGACCTGTGTTCCCCGTTGGCGCATGTTAAACTGAACGTCTCTACTGGTCTGTGCTCTCTTGAAGGTGATTCGAAAAGGGTGGCTCACCATCAGCAACATCGGCATCATGAAAGGAGGCTCGAAGGGGTACTGGTTCGTCCTGACCGCTGAAAGCTTGTCCTGGTACAAGGACGATGAGGTGAGCTGCAGAGGGTGACAGAGTTGTTTTTAATTAAAGTGCTTCTATTTCAAATTAACTAATATTGTGATATACAGTTTTGAGACATTAGTGGTCATCTTTCAGTAAAGACTTAGCTTTGGTGATGTTTGTTCCAAGAACAACATCCTCATAGATTTAAAAATTTTATAATATTCCCATCAAGTTTCTTTTATTTCTTTGATATAGCCACATATTTGTTTACCTGAAGAAATGGAGTCAGGGATCCATTCCTTCGTTGTAATAATGGCAAGCTACTGGTCTAGTTAAAGCGATTTTCATTAAATAATATGTTGAAAATACTCAAAGTAATAGAGCAAAATTAATAGTGGTGATACAGAGTTATTAAAGCTTTTGGGGATTGTTGCTGTGACTTCGGTCTCAAATGACAGGCTTTTGAAAATGTCCAAATCACTGGTCTTCAAGTGAGTCCCAGATAATTGTTTATATGAATTTTTTTCTTTGAGAATTTGATAGCTATGTAAAAGCATGAATTATGATAATTATGGTGTTCTGGTTCATGTTAGATGTTAATAATTTTAGTCCTGTGACTTATTACTCATTTAAACTTGATACTTAGAAAAGCATAAAAAAAATCATACTAGTCTTACAGAGCTATTGAAGTGCTATAAAGTGTTACTGGTAAATTTGAGAGGGCCTCGATGGAAATTAAGCAGTGTTTTGGAAATTTTAATAGCTCTGGTCTGACCAGAGAAGTTTTTGGTGCTTATAATGCAGTGTACAAACGTTGACTAAGAGTACTCTGTGATAGCAAAACTATTTACAGGTGAGATTGTTTCAGTTTTGTTTGACTATACAGGGTATGCATTTGAGGGTTAAAAGTCCTTCCAATCTTGGCTTGGTGTCTTTTGGAAGCACTGCAAGGTACCTTTGTCAGTTGTTGGAGGAAAAGCTTCACGTCCTGCATAGTTCTGTTTGCTAAGTGCTTTGTGCGCAGTGGTGTGTTGAATAAATACCAGTTGATCCGTTGATGGTCACTAAGATTTCTGCAGTAAAGGAAACCAAGTCTTATAGAAATGCCCAAAGAAAATTTCTACTCAAATGCTTTATTTCAAATTTTTATGTCTCATATTTTACTGACTTCCGTCAAACGTGGAATTGGTCATTGTGAGAATCCGAGGATTAGCAGTAGTTTCTTTCCTGTGCTGGCTGCGTAGACACCCTGTCATTCTCTGGAAGCTCCCGTATTTAGAGCCCATGGCTTCAGGAGCTCTGAGATGCCTTCCAAAATATAAAAATCAGTAACTTATCTTCTTTTGTGTTCAATTGCCCTACTAGATCTTCTGATAGATGTATTTTGTTTTCAAGGATTTAAATGGTCATTTATGTACTGGTCTTGGGGCCTTTCTCAGTTATTCTAGGGAAAGCAAGGTTTTTGCTGAGGAATCATATTAATAAAACTAGTGTTTTATATTTATTACTTAACTCATTTAATCCACATTACAACCCTAAGGATAGGTGCTATTATTATTGCATTTTTCAGAAGAGTAAATGAAGAGAAAAAACACACAACCTTTTGAAAAGCCTTTTCTATAGGACTCCGTGTCCTAGATGGCAGAACATTTGGCGCTGGTGAGGATAACTAACTTGCCACGGTCACACAGCTGGTTGGTGGCAAAGCGGACACTTGAAGCCAAGCTGTCTGACTCCAGAGCTTATGCCTTCAACCACGCATGGAGGCAAGAATCTCTGAGATGCTGGGATTTTCCAGATCACCTTCATTCCACAGAGGATATATTAAGATGAGTTCCAGGCATCACAGCATTGACTTTTCCCTAGGTGTTAATATCAGGGCTGTGAAGAGTCTGGGATTAGCTACTGCTGTTGGAATATATCTGTAGGATTTTTTTTGTTTGGCTGCATGGGTACTGAAACAAGCCCGCTGGAAAACACCTGATGCTCCTGGTAGGGAAGGAAGAGACTTTGAGAGCTTGGTGAGGTCATGGTCGCTGGCCATCTGCTCCCCACTATAAACTGAGAATAACTTTTTACAAATTCTCTGCTCTGAAGCTCCCTCATGAGCACTTGATGACAACAAATAGAAAATACATGTGGGCAGTTGAAATATTAACTGAGTGCCAGAGAACATTTTGTGAAATGTATGTGTGTGGACGGTGGTTGGATGTGTGTGTGTGGTGGGTGGGGAAGGATAAGAATGACCCTTGAAATAAACTGGAGTGATTTAGATGAAGAAAGTTTAGAAAAGGGTGGTTTTCTTAGTTTAGGTCATTTTAAGAAAGAGTAAATGACAGACAAATTGGCTGCTCCATGGAGAGAAAAATCAGACTGATACAATATCAGATACCAAGTGCTCTGAAGAAAATAGGTCAGTGAGCTAGAAATTGTTGGGGGAGGGACCTTTGGATTGGGTGTTTGGGAGGAAGTAACATTGCAGCAGAGCCTGGAATGATGAATTGTGTGGAAGATTTAGTTGAAGAACATTCCAGAGTGGGCATATTAAACCCGCCAGGGTGGGAGTGGGCAGGCAGCCTGTGGCTGAGATGTAGGAGCCCTGGGAGAGAGAAGTAGGAAATAAAATCAGAGGTATCGGTGGGTGGGGCTTGACAAGGCCCCACCCAATGATTTGGATTTTACTCCAAGGATAGTGGAAAACCATTGGCCTATTTCAGCAGGATGTGACATGATTAGATTTGTGTTTTAGGTAGATCCCTCTGGCTGCTCGGTTGGGCATGCTGGGTGGGCTAGAATGTGTGTGGATGGAGTGCGGTGGCAAGAACAGAAGCAGGGAGACCAGCTGTATTAGCGGTCTGGGCAAGAGAAGATGGTGGCCAAAGAGGAGCACTCCAGTTCAGGGTAGCAAATTGATGTATCACATACAGCTACACTGTAGACATTCACTACTGTTACTTAAGAAAAACTCTGCTCAAGAAACCAGAAAGGAAATTTTCCAAATATTAATGCCTAACTTGTGACCCCTGTCTTCAAAGTATTTGTGTCAGTGGGGCAGAACCTTTTTCTCCTGGAGCCATCCTCATTCATTCCCACCTTACCACCCCTTGACCACCACCACTGTGGTTCTCCACCCTGCTCTGTTTCTCTTGCCAGGACTTCCTCCCACCACAGATCACTTCTGAGCCTGCTGGCTGGGCAAAAGGGAAGGGTCAGCACTGTTTCTTGCTCTTTACCAATATTCAGCAAATAGTTATCTGCATCTCCAGGGGGCTGAGGCTGGAAGGGAGGGTATGGGGAAAGGAGGTCAGGGGAAATGTCAGGGGGGTGGGTCTCTGAGGTAGTGAGCAGTCTCTGGCCTCTTGACTTTGTACCCTGAACACCCATCCTTTAGCAGCAACGTTTTAAATGATGCTTAGATTTCACAGAGGTCTTGCTGCCGTAGTTTAACTACCTATGGATTGAAATGCTTCTGTGGGCTGTGTCGAAAACCCCAACTTTCCAATTTTCCTTTGGGAAGATAAGCCTGAGTTCTTACTCAACTTTTGGAGTCAGTTTGTTGGTAAGTTGAGTGCTTGTACTTTGTCCCCAAGGTATCTTGTCACATCAGCACCTACATACTTGGGAAACCCTGTTACCTGGCAGTGTATCTCCTTTTAGCCGAGGAAATGTGGCACAGCACATATTATTGTTAGTTAAAGATTTATTCATTTATTTAATAATAAATTTATATTTGAATTTTCATAGAGGATTATCATTTGTTTCTGTGTTCTCTCATCTCCCTGCTTTCTTGTGTAATTAGACTGGTATGCTTCCATTACAATCGATTTGGCTGTTGAATAAAGAGCATATTATGTCATATGAATAGGTATGATTTTATTTAACTTATGATAGGTTTGTAATAAATAGAAATGATTTATGAAATATATCTTTGGTTAAAGAACAATGTTTTGAACTGTTTTCAGGATGACATTAATTGAGCAAAAGATCCTATAGACCATATGCTTAATGCAGTGAAAAGGGTGAGGTGCTGGAGGGTGTGAATTTGCTACGGCTGACTGCCAGTGTTGGAACAAGTCAGACTTCTCTGAGTCTCGGTCTTCACCTATCAAAAGGGGACTGTTGCTGACCAAATCACCTCAAAGGGAGTTTGTAGAAATCATATTTTATTAAGTGCATTTATAAACTTTTAGTTGTCACACTTCTATGTTTATTCTCACCATTGCAAGTAATATTAGACCCTCCTACTGTAGTGTCATTGTTTGACTCATACGTTTTCTAATTTCCAGTTTTGTTGTTGTTGTTGTTGTGTTGTTGTTCCATATTATGAGATAGGATGTATGGGATCTGGGATTTTTTTTTTAGCAGAGAATGATAAGATTCAGATGGTAAGAGGGAATTCAGATCCCAGTCCTTCAGTGAGACTTTTCCATGCCGCCTCCCGTCCAGCCTGTGGGTTAGAGATGATGATAACCGAAAATGTGATTTCCTCTCCAAGCTGGCAGAGGCAGTAGCATAAATAACCTGTGTAACAGTTTTAACCTAGAGTTGGCATGATGGTAATAGTAAGTTCCCAGCATTTTTCCTGCTTTCTCCCCATCGTTAATGGATCTGTCTACCCTACCCTTAAATTTGAGATGGATTCATGAGCACCCTCAAGCAACTATGGACTGCACTTTTTGAACCATTATTCAACATTGCAATAATAATAGTTATAACGTTACTGAGAGAAGATCTTAATAGAAAGATTTCCCCCTGTGTCCCAAACAGTGTTATTTTCATGTGTTATCTTCAGTGAATCTGTATAATACAGTGTGGTTATGGTAAACATAATTAATCTACTTGACTGTATGTTATCTTCTAGTACTACTCTCAAATTGGGGTTTCTGCAACTTGAAAAGAAATAGACCATTTTTTATAGGATTAGATAGTTTACAACGAATGAACAATGGAATTTGCCCAAACCTGGCTGTCCTTCTCAGTCATACTCCAGTACCCTAGACTCTGAAATTCCCTACACAGTGACCCAGAACGCATTTCTGGGGGTTACA